CAAGTAGGATTCCATTGTGTGTATAAACCACAATTTCTTTATCCATTCATCAGTTGATGGACATTTGGGCTCTTTCCATAATTTGGCTATTGTTGAAAGTGCTGCTATAAACATTGGGGTACATGTGCCCCTATGAATCAGCATTCCTGTATCCTTTGGATAAATTCTTAGTAGTGCTATTGCTGGGTCATAGGGTAATTATATTTTTAATTTTTTGAGGAACCTCTACACTGTTTTCCAGGGCAGCTGCACCAGTTTGCATTCCCACCAGCAGTGCAAGAGGGTTCCCATTTCTCCACATCCTCACCAGCATCTGTTGTTTCCGGAGTTGTTAATTGTGGCCATTCTAACCGGTGTGGGTTGGTATCTCAGTGTGGTTTTGATTTGCATTTCCCTGATGATGAGTAACACTGACCATCTTTTCATGTGTCTGTTGGCCATCTGGATGTCTTCTTTGGAAAAGTGTCCGTTCAGGTCTTCTGCCCATTTCTTCACTGGATTATTTGTTTCACGGGTGTTGAGTTTGGTTAAGTTCTTTACCAATTTTGGAGACTAACCCTTTATCCGATATGTCATTTGCAAATACCTTTTTCCATTCCGTTGGTTGCCTTTTAGTTTTGTTGACTGTTTCCTCTGCAGCGCAGAAGCTTTTAGTCTTGATGAGGTCCCAATAGTTCATTTTTGCTTTTGTTTCCCTTGCCTCTGGAGACATGCTGAGTAAGAAGTTGCCGTGGTCCAGGTCGAAGAGGTTTTTGCCTACTTTCTCCAACTGTAGGATTTTGATGGCTCCCTCTCACATGTTTAGGTCTTTCATCCATTTTGAGTTTATTTTTGTGGATGGTGTAAGAGAGTGGTCCAGGGTCATTTTTCTGCATGTTGCTGTCCAGTACTCCCAGCGCCATCTGCTGAAGAGATGGTCTTTTTCCCACTGGATGCTCTTTCCTGCTTTGTCAGTGATCCAAGAACCATAAAATACCTAGGAGTAAACCTAACGAAAAGATGTAAAAGGTCTGTGTGCTGAAAACTTATAAAAGAAATTGAAGAAGACACAAAGAAACAAGAAGACATTCCATGCTCAGGGACTGGAAAAAGAAGTATTGTCAAAATGCCAATACCACCTCAAGTAATCTACACATCCAATGCAATCCCAATCCAAATTGCACCAGCATTCTTCTCAAATTTCTTAGAGCCACAAAAGACCCCGAAGAGCCAAAGTAATACTGAAGAAGAAAACCAAAGCGGGAGGCATCACAATCCCAGACTTCAGCCTCTACTACAAAGCTGTCATCGTCAAGACAATATGGCACTGGCACAAGAAGAGGCACACAGACCGATGGAATAGAACGGGGAACCCAGAGCGGGACCCATACAGTTAAAGCCTTCGAATCCAAATAAATTCGAGATGGCTCTGTTCCCCCGGCCCTTCCTTGCGCACAGTCACGCCAGCATCACCAGGGCCACTTCATGAAGGTGAGACCTCTGTCGTGTGGCTACTTTATGACCCTAACTACGACATTTCAAACTCAAACACTAAGATTTACAAATGCCGTTTTTGAAACCAGTCACTCCGGGACACCCACCTACGTATCTGCGTGCTACTTACTATCTGGGTATCTGATGTGACCTTCTGCTGTAGGACTCTCAGGTAAGCTTCAGTTCTGTCATCCACTTCAATCCTGGAATGGAAACCCGGTACCCAACATTCAGAAAAAGCAATGAGAAACGTGCCAACATAAACAGTTTCCTATAGATTATAACATACGACACGTTCCGTATGAGATCCGAAATAAACCGCCGAGAGTGGTCATTCAGGCAAAGGTCGTTCTAACACAAACAGCAGAGATAATTTGAGAGGAGCCACTGCCTGCTCTCCCGCCCCTTCTTTGTTACTCAAATACGGTTCCGCATCCACGTTACAGGGGACTGGAGCAGATCTTTAAACTCCCGTCACCTAGAACGTTTCCAACACTTTCATCGCTTTTGTGTTCCCACACCCTCCAAATGACTACTCATCAGTTTTTCAGAGTAGAAATGACTTGATGGACTTACATTATTGCTTTTTTCATTTGTATGCCCATGGCTGGTGTAACTTTAAATAGATTCTGTATCAACGAATTGGCCGCTTCGTAATTCCTTCGAGTATAGATCAGCAGCCAGTTATCCAGTGGCTTCACGCTAATTAACGGTGCACCTCTGGTTTCTTTTGACCAATCTGCAAACTGTGGATTGTAATCGAACTAGAAGAAAGTTCAGAGACACTGAATTCCACGGTCTGCTCTCGGTGACAAAGCCAACAGGTCTGTAATAATTCTTCTCGTGGCATATCCTGAACCTTACAGAAGTTCTCGTACTTTCAACTGTGGTGACAGACAGAATGGCCTCGGTGGAGGAGAAAGGGACACGGAGGTATCCACAGACGACGGGGTCCTAGCCCACCAGGCACTCCCCGCCCCGCCGCCTCCCTCTGCTGAGATACCGCAAGGACGCGAGGTACTTCCCTTGTGATAAAGACCCAAGAGAAACAAGGCTCTGAGACGGGAGCAACTGGCTGACGTGTCAGTACCAAAAGTGAGCGGTGACCACGTCTGACAGCAAGACAGAGGGCTCACAGGCCAGAAGCTCGGTGACCTGGTGCTACTTTCCCCCCAGAGGAAAACCACCCAGTGCTTTCTGCACGTCCTCCCCACCTCCCGACAACCTTTATGTGGGGGTGGACGCTTTTATCATTTCCACGGGGGTAATAAAAACACCCGCTGTTAAAACACAAAACTACTTCATCGGGCTGTTATTCGCAGAACATTTACGAGGTGGGAGGGCATCATTTTCTATAAAAGGGTTTTTCAAGTTCTAGCACTTGCGGGTTTCCATTACACACCAGAATGTTTTCAGAATGCTTGCTTCCCTTTCCTGAGCATAAAGCATAAAAGGCATCGCAACACTTAACATGTTTCTCTACAAACAAGTCATCCAGGCGAAGACGAGGCCAAATAGACTGGAAGTTTCCTGGATAAAAAATCACTTCAGCGGCAGACATCACGCCAACCCAATACCTTAGCTCAACGACTTGTGTCACGAGGAAAAGTAAAGCCGGCTTTCAGTGAAGCCTCACCGGTGACCCAGCCCCAGGCTCCCACAGGCCCACCTCCTTGCTCCTGGGAGGCGGTGGGGCGAGGGGAGGGGCGAGGGAAGGGGAGGGGAGGAGTGGGCACAGCAGCAGACTGGCGTGGGACTTTATCACGAGTCACACCCGAATCTGACGTGATTGACAACTTAAAGAACTGCCTTACTGTTTTTCCACCTTGGTGAATCTTTTCTGCTTGCAAAATTCTTCCTGAGAAGGACAGTAAGTTGGAGTCAAAGCTCAAACCCCAGTCTCGAAGCTCCCTCTGAACGTTATCATCTCTGTAAATTTAACATATTTACGTACCACTCAACAGAAGGAAACGGCAGGAACAGACACAGGCAAACAGACCCACTCTGACCTACAGCACGCGGTCCCGTGTCTCCCGGGACCGGAAGCCTCGCAGCGCCAGGAAACACACAAGGTGCTGGTCGCTGCTCCCTCCCCGCAGCCCTGGGTCCCTCCGTGATGGCCTTTCACCTGAAGTTCTGATGCCCGAACCACCTCTTCAAAGTAACCCCCTCGATGTCGTCACCAAGACAGAAAATCCGTCTGTCCAAAATGGTTCACCTTCTGCTCTACTACCTCCTTCTAACCGAAGAATTAGGCCGCCGGCTACAGAATGCGACATGCCCTGACGACAGCAGCCTCGCCTAGAAACACCAAGAGCCCGCCCCGAAGGCCGCAAACGCAAAAGGGAACCAAAACTGCGCTCTGTCGCTCCCCAAACCCAAGAAAATACCACAAATTGGAAGCCATGCTCCAGAGCCGTGGGGGGGACCTACTTATGAATGTAGTCAATGAGTCTTCCCACTTCACGCTGCCTCTGTTCCGGAGTTAGTCTGGTATGGACAGCTAAGTCTTTCATCACGTTAAAATCGTTGCGCATCTTATCAGTTAGACCTTTAAACGAGACGTCGGAAGGCACAGGTTAGTGACAAGGGTCTAGTCTGTGAACGTCTGGGGTGCAGGGTGGTGAGGAGACGGGACAGGCAGCAGGAAGGGCTCCCGTGGAGGGGGAGGGGGCAGGCGTCTCGGCGAGGGTTTCAGGACTCCCCGAAGAGAACGGGGCAGCAAGCTGGGGGAGCCGGGGCGCAGCAGTACCTGTGAGATAGCAGAGCTCCGGGATGAGCATCGCGGGCCCCGGCAAGGTGCCCCCAGGGCCTCGCCTCCTCTTGGGCTGACTGACCAACACAGGCTGCTTCAGGTCCGTGATCTCTTGGTTGTATTGCTGGTCAAGAAAAGACGCCGTCACCGTTCACGGCAATGCCTCTGCTAACAGGTCAGAGGACCAAGGGGTTTTTGTTTTGTGTTTTGAGAACTGACGCCCACAGCAAGGCTGGTATCAGTTTCCAAGGAAAGCTAACAAGGTGCACTTTTTTTATGTTTTTATTTTTCATTTTTGAGAGAGAGAGAGAGAGAGAGCATGTGCATGAGCGGGGGAGGGGCACAGAGAGAGGGAGACACAGAATCTGACGCAGGCTCCAGGCTCTGAGCTGTCAGCCCAGAGCCCAACGTGGGGCTCGAACTCCCAGACTGCGAGATCATGACCCGAGCCGAGGTCAGACACTTAACCGACTGAGCCCCCAGGTGCCCCCTACAAGGCGCGTTTTTAATGCTACCAAAACGAGGTGTGATTTATGTGATCGCTCATCGTTCTTTCCAAGAACTTAAGAGCCTCACTGTCCCTGACTTTATCTAAACTCTGAGTTTTAGTCACAGTTCACTTCGTTTTGTGATTTCTTGGTCTACCAACAGGCGTCTGTATACCTCTGGGTCCTCACAACAATCCCCCCAAAACTACTAGTGTTACGTCAAGAAGCGTGGGGGAAACAAGTCTTGCTAGAACGATAAATGTGGGGGAGGAAGAGGTTGGCATGCCAGAGAACATTTTTAATTAGGAATAGTTTTTGCCAAATGCTGACACTTGGTAGAAGCTGAACTTGCCCTCAGTGAGTAGCCTTCAGATTCCCCACATCAATCGCCAGGTTTTTACAACACAAAAAGAGACAAAAATGCTGACTTCCAGGGGTTAATGGAGGCGTGCGCTGGCCTGCGGGCCTCCAGCTCGGCCCTGCGGCCTCAGAACCACGGGACTGGCCTTGCACGACCTCACCAGGGTTTCTGGCCTGGTTTCCTAGAGACCCTCTTCGTGGCATCTCTCGTACCCTCTCCTGGCATCTTTTGACACCCCGGTTCATCGGGCTCTTTTTAAGAGAACCACACCTCTCTACTTGGCACACAGGACGTGAGCTTAATCAGCACGGCCGTTCCGTTGGCTCCCGTCTCTTACCAACACAGTAAGAACTACTTCCTGTTCCCTGTTCCCATCCCATGACAAGGTCCCGGCCACCCACCCTCGTGAATGAAGACCTTGAATCCCAGTCTGTTCTTGACTTTGTCCTGTACTGAACTCTTCAGCACCCATTCAGGAAGAAAGCTAATTTTCCTATTTCAGGGCAGAAAATGTCAGTGCTCTTATCTAACCTCTGCTCCGTGCACCTACACTACCGATTTTAGCGCTCTTTTTTAATTTACTTAGAGAGAGTGCACATCCGAGTGGGGGAGGGGCAGAGAGAGAGGAAGGCAGAGAATCTCAGGCAGGCTCTGGGCTGTCCGTGCAGAGCCAAATGCAGGGCTCAAACCCACCCACGAGCTGCGAGATCACGACCTGAGCCAAGACCAAGGGTCGGACACTTAACTGCCTGAGCCCCCTGGCACCCCGCACCCCTGCTCACCGCCCCCGCCCTTCCGCCTCCTGTGTCTGTTACCTGGGTGCACCCACGGTGGGGGGTGTGGGAGTGGAGGCAGGTGTGTCCCTACTTCACTGAGGGCTCCTTATTGCAGAACCCTGGGACCTCCTCTCTATATTCTGCTCCTTATTGCAGAACCCTGGGACCCCCTCTCTATATTCGGGGCCCGAACAGAAGCTAAAAACTGACCGTGATCTTTCCTTTCAAAGGCCCTTCTCTCTCTGTGCTTCCTTAAATATGACCTTTGCTATAGAACATCCAAGCTATCACTTATCATTGAAACTGCCTCTCCACTGGGAAGTCCTAAGAATGCCTGGAATCCTTCCAACATTTCACCCTTACCCCATTGTGATTAACTGTATAGCTAGCAGATACACCCAATGAGGCCTGGCTGTGACAGAAGTCTTCCAGAAGAAATCATCTGAGTGGAGACTGAGGCCTCAGAACACGAATGAGGCATGGAGAGCGTTCCAAGCAGGGGGAGCCCCAGGCTTAGAGGAGACAGCCAGGGTGACAGAGGTGAGGAAGGGCAAGCAGGCCAAGGCCGCATCGCTCAGGGGCTCACTGGATACAGACCAAGTGCACTTCAACAGGCCACGGGAGCAGGGGAAACCACTTATGTGCTGTGGGTAGAAAATAACATCCCATCTGTAGGAGTATGAAAATGGATCAGGAAGCAGGAGAAATGAAAACCGAGAGACCAGCGGAATGAGAGACAGCAGGGGCCTCCACAGGGAGGGCAGCCCCTCAGCAGGGGGAGGACAGAGCCATTTCCGGCAGGGAGATGACCAGGAACACAGCAAGGTAGGCAGGTGGCATAGCTGTCCGCTGGCAGGAGGTTGTAACTGTCCGTCAGGCATGTGTTCGTCCACTCGAATACCTCAGTGCCTATGCGGGCACAGGGGTGGGGGGGGGAGGGGCACATAAACCACAAAATCCCTGCCCTTGAGGAAGTGACAGTCCCTGCAGTGACCCAGAGCGGGGCACAGGGGCCAGGTCATGGGACAGAACATGCTCAGCGCTGGTCACGTGGAAGGAGTCTTTAAGACTTGCAAACACTGAGGACCGGAAGGCTTAGACAGGTCTGGGATGGAGCTGGAAACCGGAGAACTGTGAACGTAGAACACTTTTAGTCTGACAACAGACGAGCCTGGAGATCACCTAGCAAGTTAAAATATAGTTAGGTCGGGGGTCGAGGCAGAGCCTCTAAGTATGCCACCGTGTAGAAGGCCACTTTCGGAGAAGGAGCTGCCACCTGAGACTCACTACCAGGCAGAGGAGGGGAGGACTTTCCTCTGACCTTCCTTTGGGTCTAAACCAAACTCTCCGCTGAGAACTCCTTCGTGTCTGCTGTTGACACGTACCAACCTTTCCCAACCCTGACAGGGATTACGAAACCACACAACGATGCCAACTCATTTCTCACGGTAGCCTCGAACGCCCGGAAGGAATCTAGGTTAAACACGGCCGGAGTCCTCAAGCAGTTAGAGGTTGAAAAGGGCAGTAGGGAAATCAAGCTGAGATGGCCCCTGGCCGGTTTTTCATCTTGCCCAAAATGAGAACAGCTCTTAACGCGACTTCACAGAGAATCCTCTCCCTCCAGAGCATCTGATCTTTTCATTCATAGCAGAGCAGCTGAAGGTCAGACAACAGTCGATAACCAGCAAGTAACAAGACACTTCAGGGTCACCAACCTGACGTATGATTCTGACATAAGATATAAATACACAACGAACAGCTCATCTGCCCAGCTTTTTAGGAAAAGGAAATAATGTACTGAAAGTAGAAAAAAGAAGATAAATCTTAGCACTTCAAAACCAAGTTTTAAAATTTTAAGTGCAGAGCGTTTCACAAACGCTTTTCCAGCACTTGTAACAGAGCATATGCAACCTTCTAAGGACTGAGGGGCCAGATCTGCCCCTCTCGGGACAGCAACGTTCGTGCGCGCTCCTGCATAAACACTGTGTTCTCTTCTAGTCCCAGCGGTTCTTTCTTGCCGCTGTTGTCAATTCAGCGATTACTCTGTATAAAACTAGCGTCGGAAGGTCCCATAGTCAAAGGACCTAGCCTGGATGATACAAGCTGGTCTGAGGTTGTCGATACGGGAGATGCAAGTTAAGAGTAACCCATAGGCAGATTCAGCTCATGCTGAAGACTCAGCCATCTTTAACCCCCATCCCTGGGTGAATCTAAAAAAGTGTCCACTGCAGAATATGGGTCAGAACAGTGAACTTCTGGTGTTCACTACCGGTCATCCTGTTTGTCCTCCCCATGCTTAAATTCAAATGTCATCTTCTGTTCGGCTGGGAAAAAGGAAACGGGCCCAAGCACTTCTCATTGGATAACGAGTTCAAGTGAACTATGCTCCGACCGCCTTAACAAACACATTTCTACAGTTTTCAAAGCAATTTGTTCCATGTGTACGAGCGTTAGAAAATCCTAATGAGTAGAGTTCAGATTTCCTCTAAGGCCTAAATACCACACGTTAAAAGATCAGGTCCACGGTGACCCCTTACCTTCCTATAGTACTCTAGGAAACTGATTTCAGAGCCGTCTGCTTTCTTGAAGGTGCTCTTTGGATTCTGGTCCCAGTCGATATCGTCTACTCTGTATGTTTTATTGTTATACCTATGAAATGATTGAGATTTACTGGTATTTGCTTGGAACATGTAGAGATATTATTAAAAAGAACCTAAATAGAGATAGTATGTAGTCCCTAAAAAATAAAGTTTCAAATAGCTTAGCGATATACAACGTCCTGCGGAGAAAAGGGAAATCTTCTTACAGACCACGCTAGATGGGTGGGGAAGGGACTAAATCACTACCAGAAAACAAAGACTGACAAAGATAAAAGCCATTAGATACCCTTTCCAGACGACTGTACTCCCCGAGAACTCGTGTCTTGCGAAGGGTGACACACACCCCTCCCCATTTTCATGCTCTTCCCACCAGTCAACTGTAGACCCTACTTTCTAACAGGATGGACCAGAAAGCCATGAGGTCTTAAGACTTGCAAAACGACTGCTGTGCATTTTTAAAAAAAGCCTTACTTGGTAAGAACAATTAAGCCTATCAGTTCTTTGGAAACTTGTTCTTGAAATTTATGCTCTTCTATTTGATGGTACAGGTTGAACATGAAATCTAACACGGTTTCACTCCGGAGGACTTTATGACTGACGTCGGTGCAAAGCATGATGTTATTTTCGTACTGGAGGATGGAAGTGGTAAAGCCAGGCCAGATCACCAACCTGTCAAGCAGAATGAAAATATGAAGTAACCTCTAACGCCCAAACATGGTCTGCACGTATCACGTTCTTTTTCTCCTGTCTTAACTGGGTCTAAAGTACAAAAGTTCCTGAAGTGAGTAAATTTTGTTATTTCTAGGTTTCACGTGGTTCCATATAGAGACCCATCTTTTTAAGATCTCAACAACGAATGTTTTTTCATAACGTAATTTTTAAGTTCCATTTTGAATACACTCTGTTAAACTATTGCTGACGCTGGACTAAGCCTTAACAAAGTTGCCGATCTAACTGAAAGCACCTGTGATGACAAGCCTGACCCGTGTGGGCCGCACCTGAATGCACGCCACACAAAGGAACTTCTGAAGCAATCTCCTGAGCTCGTAAGTTTGGTTACCCGAGACCAAATACAAATGCTGGACAGCTCTTTATGCTTCCCCAGTGACAGATGGAGAGCATGTGACGTCTTTAAAGCCGAGTAATCCGGGAGGTCTCTTTTATTATTCGGACCGAGTTGAAACTTCACGTACCAGGACGGGCACCGCTAACGGCCACCGTAGTCAATCTGATCGTCTCAAACTGGAGCACCCCTTTCCAAGTCCACGATTAAGCCCAAGGAATAGAAAGCTTCCGCCTTATACAAACCTGTGATTTGGAATATCAATTGGGTCACTTGGGTTATAATAATTCCGTCCAATTTGTTGTAAATTCATGATCTTCAAGAGCCTAGAAATTCAAAAGTCAGAACAGAGATGTGAATACTGACAAGCATCTCCAACACACAGGTCCTCACCGCACTGGTTTTTCAACTTTCCCCTTGATTTTTAATTTTTCTGTGTAGAGGGTTAGAAAACACTGACATACCTCCTGAAGATAATGTTATAGAACTGCAAACAAGTTGGTGATGTAGGTGGGAGCTCATTTGTTAAGGTGATCGTTATCCTCACTTGCTCTCCATTTCGGGTCTGACTAAATACTTCAGTAACCTGAAGCCGGAGCAGTGGAAAACCACACTTGTAATTATTAAAAGAAGTAAGCCCAATCACATAATTCCTGCTAATAAGGCAATGACAGGACTACAGAACAGTTTGAAATTAAAAAAAAAAACAAAGAAAAATGCTAGGAGAGGATGAGTGGTTGCGGCCCGTGTTATAAATTCAATTGTGGGGCGCCTGGGGGGCTCCGTCGGTTAAGCATCTGACTTCGGCTCAGGTCATGATCTCACGGTCCGTGGGTCTGAGCCCCGCGTCGGGCTCTGTGCGGACAGCTCAGAGCCTGGAGCCCGCTGCGGATTCTGTGTCTCCCTCTCTCTTTGACCCTCCCCTGCTCACCCTCCTCTCTCAAAAATAAAAACGTTAAAAAAAGATTTATGAATGTAATTGTAATCAAGTTACTGGGTGGATCTGAAAATGAAACTGCCCAAGTCCCCCATGGGTTTATTACATGGAACATCAGACTGAAGGCCACTGGTGCTTCTCTAAAAGCTACCCTAGACTGTGGCAGTTCTGCTCTGAAGTGGGGAATCCTTCATCACCCTCTCCCCGACCCGACGTTTTCAAATAACCTTGTGCTGTAGTCTTTTAGGTAAAAATAATATCGTTCCATCAAAAGCATGACACCTTCCAATTAAATCTTCATGTTGAAACAGAAGAGCTGAGCGGAGTCTTCTGGCCTCCATCAGCGGGTTATAGTCAATGTGATACTGGTACAAGGCCCACTGGGGACGGGACGTCAGTCGAAAATGGTTAGTGCTCAGCCTTACTATAATACCTGAAGACCCTGCAAAAAAGGAAGTCGCATTTGATTAACAAAACAAGTTTCGTCTTCCCTGAACTCCTTCCTACTGTGGCAAACAGACACAGTTCTGCAAACACAAGGCTGGGAATAGTACAGGACACTAGAGTTCTCAGACATCTGACTTTGAGGACCACTGTCCTGTCCGGAGAAGTTCCTAAAAGCATACATTTAGGAGTAAATCCCCCTCAGACTAAGCAACGTACAACAGAACCAACCAAACCTATGGCAAAACCCTCTAAAAGAAAAATGTTATCTACATCACATGTAATAAAAGACTGCAATGCAGCTGAAGACCTCTAGAACTTATTTCGTCAGAGCAGAGACAGAGGGGGAAGTGGAACAGCCACGTGGCACCCTGAGTAGATGCAGATGCGCCTCTCCTCCCCAGGACCGCGTCACGCGTGGATGTGCGAAGCGCGGAGCCTCAATTCAGCGTCCTACGTACTTGAAACGTAATCTCATGAACACTGTGTTCTTCATAATCGCTTACCTGTCTTTGATTCTCTAACGTGGTCTAGGTTCTGTCTTGTGTTAACACCAAGGTCATGAAAGTCTCTACGACGACCTCCCCTCTCTGCTAACGATAACTCCTGAAATCCAGCGGATATCTGGAGGTCTTAAAAAAAAAAAAAAGAAGAAGAAATTATACACACAGTAACATGAAACACGAAATAAACGACAACAGCATCAACACCCCAAATGATGCCATATGAGACCCGAAAGCTACTGAGGTGCTAAAGATCACGTAGAAGGGTCCCGTCAGAGGGTTTTAGGTATCTCTGGCCATCACAACATCCTAGCTAGGACTTCTCCTATAAAGCCTTTCTCGCCGTGCCCTAGCCAAGCTCTGCCGCTCCCCCATACGACATACGTACCGTTAAAGGATTAAGACAACTGGACGGAGATTCAACAACTCAGGAGTACCTTTGTTGACTAGGAAGTTATTCTTCTCGAATCTAACTTCTGAACAACCTAAGGACCTTTTTATCAGTATTTTTCACAGCTTTACGATACAATTATAGCTACAGGAATTAGTGGTTTCTAGGTTTCAACGTGTAACCTGAAATAGAAAATACAGGTCTAAAGCATAATTTCCTCACTAATTCCTTGAACACCCAGCATAACAGATGGAACCTTGTGGTGCCTGTCCCATGGCCATCATGCACCTGTCCTTTTGGGACAGGTTAACTATCAGCTCATGCTTAGTTGCAAAAACTGCTTATAATATCCAGAATCATTAAAGCTTTCAATTTTTACAACATATGGAAGCAGCTCATATCACAGTATGATATGGGCCCAAGAATGAACACGGGCTTTGTGGTCGCGTGTTAGAATTCTAGCTTTCAGTTAATCGGCATGATACTTCATGTACTAGAGACTTCAGCCTTCCCAACCTCTCAGCCTTCTTTTTTAAAATACCTTACTTAGGGAACAGTGTACCTAAAAGACTAGAATTCCACCTTATCTGCAGGCAAGGACAGCGGAGGAGACTTAAGCAGAAACTTCGGGGAAAGCACCTTGGGAGGAGAGCCAGTGGCTGGCGTTTACATTCTCTGTGCCCCTGCCTGCCACTCTTGCCTGGACTCTGGTCGTGATCACCAAATATATGTCTTAATGACAAGAAGTTGGGACAAAAGAACAAAGTGACTGAAGAACCCAGTTTTCTTCTGGTGGCAAGTTCCAGATTCAGCACCCAACTGCCAACTTCTGGACTTCTCATTAGAGGACACAGCTTGAGCAAAATATCGGCTTCCTGAAACACCTTGGGAACCAGTTATTCTAACATCAGCTTCAACTTCTTTACGTGGAAAAGTGAGGAACTTTACGGGTATGTCGTATGTTTTAAGTGAGAATATGATTTACAAAACTCCTCATAGGTGTTGCTAAATATGTTGGTTATTGTACCTCACGATATTCAGGGGCCCTATTTCAAAGTCCTTTAGGGGTGCCTGGGTGGCTCAGTCAGTGGAGCATCCAGGTTTCAATTTCAGCTCAGGTCATGATCTCACAGTTGGGACTGAACCCCGTGTCAGGCTCCCCGCTGACAGTGCGGAGCCTGCTTGGGATTCTCTTACTCTCTCTGTCCCTTTCCTGCTCTCATGTGCACGAGTGCTCTCTCTAATGAATATGCTTTTTTCTTAAAGATAAAAAATCCTTTAAATATTTAACTATTTTTGTCTCCTTTGGTGAATTTTTTATCCCCAAAACTTTCAAATTAGAGCATCCTCGGCACTGCGAGATTAACTGTATACTAACACAGGTCAACCGTACTGCATCCAACTTAGTAACAATGACAGGTCATAGCAGCTTTTTTCTCCTGAAAAAAATCTGAGTTTGTCTTAAAATTCCATTCCAGATACAAAAACCCAACTATAAGTTTCTGAATATAAATAATGAAGTCCATTCCCCTCTCTACACACAGTATTGCTATCACATTTAGCAACAGCATAACTGTCAACCTGTAAAGAGAACAGGTTTCAGAAAGAATAAAACTGTAAACCTCGCTAATTGTTAACATACCTCATTTTATTGTGCTTTGCAGGTAGTTTTTACAATTGACGCCTTGTGGCAACCCTGCATCAAACAAGTCTGCTGGGGTCATTTCTCCAACATTTGCTCATTTCATTTCTGTGTCACGTTTCAGTAATTCTCACAACGTCTCAAACTTCTTCGCTATTGTATTTGTTACAGTGATTTGTGATCAGTAACTACAACTTGCTGAAAACTCAAATGATGGTTGGCACTTTTTAGCAGTATTTTTGAATTAGGTACATACACTGGACACAATGCTGTTGCACACTTAGCAGACTACAGCAGTGTGAACAGTTCTTCCATACACGCCGGCAAACCCAACGATTCACACGACTCGCCTTGTTCCAGCTGCTGTATTGCAGCGTCTGGAACCAGGCCTGCTGTATCTCTGAGGTCCACCTAGAACCTCCCCCTCCGAGCAGCTGCTCGAACGACTAAAACTACACGTTAGACCTCGCTACTCTTCTACTACAGAGTCCTTGGGAATGAAAATCAATAAACAAGGTTTATTGACAATAAACCTAACTTGTCACTTCAGTTTCTAAAACCTAGTAGATTCGTGAACATTTGGGGCAAGCAGTTCCCAGTGAAGTGAAATGACGACCCTCCCCAAAGCAGTGAAATGACATAATTTGTTATTCCAAGTACTATTTAATCCTCACAATGGTCCTTAAAGTTAGATGCTACCTTTCTAAAGATGGGAAACTGAGTTTCACAAAATTTAAGTTCATGCACAACGGTTAATGATTAATAACGGTCGATATAGAGCATGTTTAAGAAATTAACGTATTTCCCACAATCTTATCGTAATTTTAAGGCTGCAACAGTAGGGAAATGTTTTTGAAACAACTTTAGCAAATCTAGCTGTTGGCGAACACACTGACCATGTCAAGTACTCTAAGTTTCAAAGGAACAAAGGCATCAAAATTAGAAGAGGAAGTGACTGCCTAACACCCTATAAATTTAGAGAGATTAATGCCTATAAATGAATTCTCATCAGGCAGCTTAAAAAACAAAACATCACATATCAGAATAGTTAACAGGTAATTGGATACATAACAAAAGACCATTCCAGACTTCTCACTGACTCTTCAAATGTAGCACTATTTTTAATTTTTTAATGTTTATTTCTTTCTGAGACAGAGAGAGAGAGAGAGAGAGAGAGAGAAAGAAAGCGTGAGCAGGGGAGGAGCAGAGAGAGCGGGAGACACAGAATCTGAAGCAGGATCCACACTCTGAGCTGTCAGCACAGAGCCTCATGCAGGGCTTGAACCCACAAACTGCAAGACCATGACCTGAGCCGAAGTCGGACGCTTAAACAACTGAGCCACCCGGGTGCCCCTCAAATGTAGCACTATTAACTGACATTTTCCCTCAAACGTTTCTGAACAAAAACACACACATACTCACGTATTCATTAAAAATGCGAAGATAACGCTGACTCACCACCCGATCCTGTCTGCCGTAGCCCAGGCGAGGGTCTACACCCCTGAGCGTGGTAACAAGGTGCCGTGCCGTTAGTGCGACAGTTCTCTCCGACCCTTTGGGCAGGCATTCCCAGTGTGGGGCAGGGTGTGTGACGACGGCCCTTACACGGTCATGCCGTCCCTGCCCCGGTCCGTCGGGTGCACTCCCAGGAGGGGACGTGCTAACGACAGGGCACCGTCACGGCTGCTACACGTTACAAAAGTCGGTACAACCGTACAACCCCTCAGGGAGGACAGTGCTGGCCTGACAACCGCCAACGTCGGCAAAGCGGTAAGACAGAACAACAGACAGGTAAACAAAATGTTCGCTTGATTTCACTTTCTTTCACGAGGCTTACCGTTTTCATTAGTCTTTGCGGTTCTCAGTGCACTGCCCTCCCCTTTCCTCTGCCCGCCTCCCTGCAGCCTGTCAGGCATCACGGGTTTTATAGGAGCGTTGTGTGGGCCACAGACCCAGCCCCACCATCACTTCCCCAAGTTTCCAGGCTTCTGACACGGACGGCGGCTGTCACGGCACCGTTTACGTGGCTCTGACACCACAGACTCCTCCAGGGGCTCCTCTGACGTTCGCGGATCTCACTGGGTAGGACCAGACCTCTGGAGTACTTGGGGGCGTCACCCACGGAGCAAAGCCGGGTACAAGCTTCGCCTCGTCACCAGCTGTCCCCACGCTAGTTCACGGAACAGCCCGTCTCCCGTGGCCACCCCGGCAGGAAAGCTAGCGTCATTACATCAGGTCCCGCACGTACAGGGGAGCTTTTCCTACACTGAAACCAAACTTAACTGCTGAAGAATCTTACATCGAGCGCCCAAGTAATCCAGGTTTGTAACAAAGTAACGAAAAAGCACAATTTCTGGAATCAGAACTGGTGTTCTGACCTCACCAGCTGTCGCAACTTTGGCCCCCAGTTTCTGTGCCTGAGAAATGGGGGGAGCCAACACAACACATAAGACACCGTGTCCTGCAAAGCAAAGTCAGAAACGTTACAGGTGGTCCAGCTTTTGGTGAAATTACTAAAGATGCCCAAAGAATGTTCTAAGTGGCTAATCGGCGAAGAAGGAGACGTAGGATTGGTTCAGAACCACTTTGTGAGAGCCACTCTGGGGGCCTGGCGAGGACACGCTCTTTCGTTTCCAAGAAGGAGAGAAACCCCGTGGCGCCCAACACAGCCCGAGCGCGCCTGTCGTACTTTAGAGGACTGTGGCTTTTCATCGTAAGGGGTCTGCACAGCGGCTGCCGTGCCAGGGCCACCGCGCGCGCGCGCGAAGTCTTTTTACCCTCCTTTCACCTTGTGACTTGGCCGGCGCTCCGCCTGCTCCTCTCTGTCGTCCACGGCCAACTAACTCCCCCTCTGCTGCCGGCTGCTGAGGCCGAGGCTGGACGAAGCCGGGGGGCTGACTCTATAGGTACATGCAAATAAACAGCAGGCTTTTCACGTCAAAGGTCACACAACAGAGGAAACCGTCTTAAACACGACTGAGACGCTCAAACAAAAGTCATCTAAATTAGAAGTCTAACGCTGTGTTCCCACAGAGCGGTTTCTTCAAAAACGGTCACTAACTAAAGAACCAACTCTCAAGATCCTCAGGAAAGGGAACACGATCGTCTTAGTTCTCCTCCCTTGTCCCTCACAGGACAGTCTTTTCAACTTATTTTCAACAGCCTAAGTTGATAAAGATTGAACAGATTTGGGGCGCCTGGGTGGCTCAGTCGGTTAAGCGTCTGACTTCGGTTCACGTCATGACCTCACGTTTTGTGAGTTCGAGCCCCAGGCCGGGCTCTGTGCTGACAGCCCGGAGCCCGGAGCCTGTTCCGGATTCTGTGTCTCCTTCTCTCTGCCCCTCCCCCCTCTGTCTCTTAAAAATAAACATTAAAGAAAAGTTTAAAAAGCAGATTTAACAGATTTTTGTTTCCTAAAGGTCGTTTCTGCAGTTAGAAAATGGTAAAGCACTCACAGCAGGGGCCCCCACGTGCCGCACCGTCTCCTGACCGCAAGCCCTTCCTCGTGCTCTCGCTCTGGCTCGCCCGGTCATTTTTCTTCCTTGAGAGGAAATAATCACAAACACAATACTCAATGTGCACAATTTGACAGTTTCTACGACGTGACCTTTAAACTTCAAGATTCTAAAAGAAGCTCCTGAATTATCACGTATCTTGCTAACCTGTCCTCTAACGAACTCAAGCGCTGGCAGGGCGGCGCTAAAGCAGACGACCTGTTTTAACCAGTATCTCATTTTCATTGCACTACTGGTTTTTTTTTAATAGTTAAAAGTTTACTCGTTCTGAGAGAGAGGGAATGCAAATGCAGGAGAGGCAGAAAGGGAAAGAGGGGGACAGAGAGAATCCCACATGGGCTCTGTGCTGACAAAACAGAGCAGTGGCTCGAACTCGCAAATCGCGGGATCAGGACCTGAGCCAAAGCTGGACCCTTAACCGACTGAGCCCCCCAGGCGCCCTGAATTATTGTTTTATACAGACGCAGGGAGAAAACTGTTAAGAAACGTCTGAGGGTGGGGACTAGCTCTTTCACATCCGGACACGTATCTAGGACACCAGGCACTGGTGGCACGGGCAGGCCCTTCACGGAATTCACGCACGTGCGCGCACACCCGTAGCACAGCTTCTGGGATCTCCCCACAGGTTCACGTGTGAACGCACCCAAACTAGTGTCTGTTACAGCACATCACTCGTGCTCCAGAATCTCTCTCTCGGTGAGCAGCACAACCACCCACTGCCTCTAGGGAAAAAGGACGGAGTCGTTTAACTACTCCTTTATTGCTCTTGCTACTTCTGACCCAACACTTCTCTCCGACACCGTGTTCGCAAGGCCCTGGGGGCCAGGACGGGTGCTGGGCGTCAGAGACATTACCACGCCAAGTTTCCCCACCCACTCACCCCCACCAGAGCGGACAGCAGTATCGTCGGGTTGTTAAGGTGTAGACCTCAGAGCTAGTCTGCCCGAACCCCACTCCTTCACAGAAATGACCTTGAGCACATCACATAACCTTGACTCCTCTCTGATCTGTGATAGGGAGTTAATAACCTACCACACAGGTCCAGTGTGCGGTTCAAGTGAGAACACACATGAGGCACTTGACACACAGTGAACGTTCAACATCAGCTGTAGCAGGAAAGGCACGCGAAATTAGAGCTACAAATTTTTTAAAGCTTAACGCAGCAAATAAACAACGCTCTCATACAAAAAGCAAGCAGGAACTGATTTACACACTGAAGTGTGCCTCCAATGGAGCTAGCACTTACACGGAGCTGGAAGATTAGAACTGGAAGGGAGACGGTGCCTGTCTTCCCCAGCAGGGCGAGGTGCTGAGTGTGGCTGGTCGGCAGGACTGGGAGCCGCCCGGGGACTCCAGGTACCCGGGAAGGAAAGCTGGTGAGCTCGGAGGCAGGCACAGATCCGAATGCACAGGGCCCTGCAGACAACGGGGTGGGGTGCCACGAAGGTTCTAATTATAGAGGGGCGGGCTGTGACACATTTAAGATCACTCTGCTTCACATCACATTTTCATCTTTTTTTCCAGTTTGAACAGCTTCTAAAATCCTTGCTGTACGAGGGCCTTCCTAGAAAGACCAACCTAATGACATCCTCCAACTGGGAAACCCCTCTTTGACTTCCCGTTGTGTTCCACGGGATCGGAAGCAAATCCTCAAACTTACCAAATTGTAGAAACCTTCACGATCTCATTCTAAGTCAGCCATCTCCAAAGCAGCTTACAAAACATCATTTGCGAGGGGCCCACGTATCAGAACCCGTGTTTAATGCCGTCTTCAACTACCGCGCGTATACTGCCTGTATCAGGACAATGGCTATGCGCACCTAACTCCCGCCCTGGGCCTACCGGCATACGTGCTCAGGGCGCTTACTGAAGGGGTACAGAATGAGACTTTTCTTTCCCGCATGCACCCCAGTAAATTCCACCATTCACCTTGTACCACGGGGTGCCCTACCTCCTCCACACGGCTGTGGTCCCACCAGCATTACTGCAGCTACCGCACAGCCCAATAATTCCCTCCCTCACTAGACGCGGACGCTGGTCGTAGTCAGTCCTGCGCACCTGCCCGGCCCAAGTGCACGTCTGGGGTTTCTTTTTAAGCCTGGTAAAAAGCTGAACTGCCACCTCCGACAGAAAACGTTTTCCTAGCGCACTTCTCAGAACGTGACCTCTCTCTCTCAGCAACACCTAGAACTCGTTGGAAACGCCAGTTAGACAGGGGGGTTCCCCGCTCCCAGACCCACGGGGTCCAGGGCTCGTTTCAGTGGGCCTCCAGGTGATTCTCACCATCACCCAAGACAACCACGTAACCACACACAGGTGGGGTGTGCAGACCCCGTGCTGGGCTGGCCGGTACAGCTGTGGTTCTCGGCTACATCCTCCCAACCTCAGGGCACCCCAGAATGGGAGACGAGTTAGATAGTCACTTTCAAGTAAGACTTGGAGGCGATGCTTCTAATCATCATCCCAGCTAGAAACCACACCGGGTCAAACTGTGCTCCATCCAGAGGCAATGCAATCCCAGCACCTGCCCCCAAACGAGAGCTGCCCCGGCCCCTGTGGACTGGAGACCAGTGCAGACCAACTCCCTAAGGGCCCCCTGAGCTCCCCCCACCTGGACAGTGCCACTCTCCTCACCCTGGGAAGTAACGGGAATGCCCTCCCGACAGGGGCAGTGCCCCCTCAACCCGGGAGTGTCCAGGAATGCCTCCCAACCCAGAAAGTGCCCCCCCAACC